ATATATATATATACGTTATCGTCTTGATAGAGTAGCCTCTGCTAAAATTCGGACGACAATGCTCGACACGCCTCGAGATTAGCGGCGAGAAATCTCGATCTCCACTTACTAACGCGTGAAATTATTCGAAGCCGATGGAGAGAGAGCGGCGAGGAAGTCGCAACCACCCTTGATTCTCATTTCTCGTGGATTACGGGAATCGTCGTTAAAGAAAAAAAAAAAAAAAAAAAAAAAAAGAAAGGAGAAGAAGGAATGATTATTGAAAGTTCTGCCAATTGGAATATCTCGGAGTCACTCGGACGTTGAATGGGTTCCAAGGAGGCAAACCGTGTCCCCCGAGGAAGTCACTCGTAAGCCAATCGAATCGAACGCAGAATCACGGCGCCGAGTCGCGACTGACAGCGAGACGACGCGAAAATACGTTGTGTTATCGGCGTAAAGGACTATTTGAAAATGCCCGAAGGAAGCCCGAAGAAGCAACTGTTACCCGCGTGGGCTCCTCTAATTTTAGTACCTCCCACTGGAATACGAAATCGTATCCTTCTCTCTCTCTTTATATATATATATATATATTTCTCCCTTTCGCTTTAACACGTCAGCCAACACTCTGTTGTATACTTCCATCTCTCTTTGTCTTTCTTTCCGTTTCTTCCTCTTTCGCGAGGTCGTGCCACCTCACGAATCTACTTTTTATATCTATTTTAATTCCGTCATCGATGCCACGGCTTTGTCGTCAAGACGACACGGAATCGGCCACTTCGAAATTCCTTTCTCGCGTCTCCTTTCCTTCGCGGCGCGAGAATTGGGTGAAACGTCGCTCGCCTCTTGTTAAAAATTTCCTAGATATCGTATCAAGCAGCGTTTGCTCGTTTCTTTTCAGTAGAACACAAAGGATAAAATAGTTTGCACAAAACAGGAGTTCGTGTAGCTAGTAATTGTAAGAAGAAACATGGACCCTCAAATCCGCGGTCTGGTTATCGAAATGTGAATCAAAGGAGATCCGATGTACAAACGTGATAATTAACGGCTTTTATCTTTTCGTGCAACGATCTCTTTGACGGTGTTTCGCGTTTTTGCGCGCTGCCATCGCGTTCGCAATTTATTCGCACTTACGCCGAATTTCGCTGGTCTTTTCCCCGTCCTTTTTAAAGCCGATTTATTGGCACGGCATCGCAGATTCGTGTACGCGTTTACGCAGCCACGAAACGCACTTCACAAACGGTTTCCAGATGGAGGGACGTGGTCCCTTTTTTCCTTTACACAACTAGCCGTGAAACCGCTCGAATCACAATTGGAGTTCGATCGGAATTTTTAACGATCGTAGTGATATTTAAAGCGCGCGTATACGCAGTCTTTCGTTCGGCGTACATTTCATCGGGCAATTTTTCGTCGTTTTGTTTGTACAGCTCAAAGCTTCGGAGAATGTTCTCGCTTTGAAAGAATTCCAGCGACTGGGAATGTCTCCTAAATTCGGCCGATTTATTGGACAAATAACGTGTAGATCGTGCGCACGTTTTTGTATCTTTCTTTGATACATTCCTTCCCCGAACCAGGCGCAGCCGATCTTTGATGCGACGAGAATTACGTCGCACGATTGATAGCGCGTGCTAATGCATTTATTACATACATTGAAAACGTCGTGTCTTCACGATAAATATTAGAATATTTACGTAACGAACGTTAGATTCGTTTCGTAGGTTTAGGTCAGGTTTAGATTAGCTTTAGGTGTTTCCTTATAAAATCACTCTCGTACAATATCATTCCTCGTATTGAAACTCAGCTTTGCTGACTTCAACTTTTATTTCCTTCGCTTTTGCTTCTCGTTGCTCTACCTTCGTATCAATCTATTTTTATCCCATATAAATTACAGAAAAATTAAAATCCCCGAAACCCGCACTGTTGATAGTCATCGCGGCGCGAAACCTGTTCACGCCCAGTGAAAGGATAAGGACGTGGAGAAAAAAAAGCGAAATAAAAAGACGCCCGTTTAACTCGACACAGCCGTCTTTATTTCGTCAAAGCATCGAATACAAAACCAATGGAATATCATAGCGGCTCTCGGCGGTCCGGACAAGTCGCGCAAAAATTCTCAACGTTCGTCGAAACGGTTCACCCATCGTGCACCGTCTCGATCGCAGTCATTGGCATCGAGTGGCGGGAGCAGACGGGAGTTTAATTCCCCGGTTGGTTTCCTGTCCATGCAACATTAAGCAGAGCCTCTTGCCGCTTGCACATTTCTTTATCGTCATCCGTCGAGTGACAGTAAAAGCTGGTCTGGGTTATCGGAATGACACTTCGTTACAGCCGAACGAGGTCGCCCCGGCAGCCTGCTCTCCGCCTGCTCTGCTACTTCTTATTGCGCGTACGAATCAAGTACCCGCCGTAAAAAAGATTTACAGAGAGAGAGAGAGAGAGAGAGAGAG